TTCAGAACTGGCATTACTTGTCTGTTGCACCTGAAACAAAAACGTCAACCTCTTTGAGTTGCTTTCTTCATTTTAAAATGAAGAATCAACACTCCTTGGAGAGAACAATCATGGGAGAAAGAAGGGCTGCTTATGCACCAGGAAACAGCTCAGGGGGCAGGAGAGCAAGGAGGGATGGACACGGGGAAGAGGTAGCTATGGGGAGAAAATGGGAGGGAAGCTGTTGCATTGTGGTAAATTGTGGTCAATGTCATGAGACAAAGTATATGTGAACTGCTGTATGGAAAGTGAATTTGCTCTGTAAATCTTCACCCAAATCACAATAAAAATAAATAAATAAAATTAAATTAAAATGAAGAATCAATTTCTATGAGCCTTAATTCTTTCTCTAAGATTCTAGGATAATGTTTGATAGTTTCTACGAGAAGCAGTGAAGAGCATTGGTAGCTATAGTACTTAGTATAAGCTATTTCTAAATAGCAAAATGATATTGATCAGGTGATGAGCCTGGTTGGCAAAGGCCGTGGAACAGCAATAACAGAAACAACACTAACTAACACATTTAGTTTTATAAGCAGTGTCACATATTGAAAAAACAAAACCTGTCACCATCAAGTTAATTCCGACTCATGGTGACCCAGAATAGAACTGTTCTGTAGGGTTTTCTTGGCTGTAATCTGAACAGAAGCAGACTTCAGGTCTTTCTTCCATGGTGCCATTGGGTGGGTTCAAACTACCAACGTTAGGTTAGTAGTTGAGTGCAAAGCATTTGCACCACCCAGGGACGTTAGTGTCTCATATAATATACCAAAATTCCCTATGAGGTAAGTGCTTCTAAATTATCCAAATTTAGAAGATGAGAAAACTGAAGCCTAGAAAAGGAAAAAAATCAAAGACAAAAACCTGTGCAGTATAAAGGCTCTCCATAGACCACAGACACAGATCTTTTCTTCATATTTATTTACCCAAGGCTTAATTTCAAAAGATCCCTAAGAGTAACCAAAACACATCCATTATGAAGAAGCAGGTGAAGTCTGTAGTTGAATATATTATCCCTGCTGATCCCAGGTTGCTACTGGGATTAGCAGAGGACTCTTTAATCCCTATTCATGTTGCAAAAAAGACCTCACCAGAATAAATGGGCAGAATGGACCTGGAAGAGGGATCACACAAGCAAACTGGGTGAAATGCAATATATGCCTAGCGTGAAGTAAGTGTCCAATATTTGTTAGTTATTATTATTACCATAAATTACAAATATGGCAATAAATCAGTTTGGTGGATTGCAGATCACAACAGTGGCTCCTAGACTGCCACTGAAAACTCCTGTCTCAATGTCTTAGAAAACCAAAAAAATCAAACTCACTGCCATTGGGTTGATTCTGACTCATAGCAGCCCCTGTGGTAAATCTTACAGAAATAGATTGCCCCATCTTCCTTCTATAGAGCGGCTGGGGGGCCGCCAGCCTCCTGGTTAGCAGTCAAATGCCTTAGGCACTAGGACACCAGAGCTCCTTAAATGACAGAAAAAATAAATAAATAAATAAAAGGCCTTGTTTATGTCTAGTGAGGATTTTTATTATGCTTCAATAGACTTTAGAGTACTTTTAAAAATATTATGTCATGATCTCAATTTTTGCTAAAGAAAGGAACTTTAGAGTTAACGTTATAATCTATTTCACTCAGGCTACAGGGACTAACAGTGATAGTGCTGCTTTGGGTATTATTTTATGTCAGGCTAAATTATACCGATGATCATGAAGACAACATAGCACTGGGAAATGTTCTATTCTGTTAATACATAAGGTTGCCATGAGTCGGAAATGACTAGAAGGCAACTGACAACAACAATAATAATAACAATGGGGCTAAATGATCAGATTTGCAAAATCTGAATATTGTTATGGGAATGTGATTATAGGCTGAAGGATGGAAACATGTATTGGAGAATGGAGGTCTGGTATAGACTTTGTAACTTAAGATATGTGAAAATTTAGATTGACTCACCTCAAATCTTCAAATGAAGTCATGATGTAGCTCTAAGGTGTATAAAGCAAAATATATGTGTTGGAGAGATGACACAGATAAAGACCAGAGGTCTTGACACTCCAGAAATGACAGGAAATAGTTAAAGGAAGTACAAGTGGAGAATATAAGAAAATGACTAGATTTGAAATTCTTGGGCAAGGTCAGACTCCTGTAAACCACAGGTCAGTGGGTGTAACTCAGAAGTAGAACAATTAATTGACTGAACATAACCGTCTGCTGTTTCCAGACCGGAAATATTTCCTGTCTTGGATGTTTGGATCTATCTGAATGCCAAATAGCCTTACTTCAAAAGTGTTTGTGGGAGCAAAAAGGAGAATTGGCTGAGTGTGTTTATTCAGTGCTAGATGTGGGAAGTGGGAGGGCAATAAACTTAGGAAATAAATCTGTTTAAGAACACATGAACCACCAGGAGATAACCATTTTGCCACAGACCAGATTCCAGAGTGCTGCTCAGAGAGAAGGAAACCTGGGAGAGAAGAGCTTGGAGAAGGAGAGGAAACAAGACTATTTGAAGCTGCTTAGGTGTGTAGGTAAGTCACAGGGAGTAACTTGGGAAAGGTCCTATATTTTCTTTTGAAATATTTTCAACATTACAGGAAAATGGCAAAAATAATACAAATAATACAAAGACAATTGTGCTTTGGGTGAAAGTTTACAGAGCAAATTCATTTTCCATACTACAGTTCATACACATTTTGTTTCATGACACTGACTGCAATCCCTGCAGTGTAACAGCACTCTTCCCACTTCTTCCTTCTTATTAGTCTTCTTCCCTCTTGTTACTCTTTCTGTGTGTGTCGGTCTTTTCTATGCATTCCTGCTTTCTGAGCTGTCTCCCTATTCAAATACAGCCCTTCTGTTCTCCCAAGGTTGATTGTTCTAAGGAGTGTACCTACTGGTATAATTGTTTACCTTATATGCCTGTCTTTTGTTTGACTGGAAGCCATGGGAGTGAGTTCAGTTCCATGCCCAAAGGGTGTCTAGGAGTATAATCTCTGGGATTTCACCAGTGTCTCTCAGACCAGTAAGTCTGGTCCATATATATATATAAAATTTTGAGTTAGGTTCCACATTTGTTAGGTTCCACATTTTTCTTCCACTCTATCCAGGATCTCATATTTTGATCTATTTCCTAGTGGTTGACAGTAGTAGCTGGGCAACATCTAGTTCTTCTGCTCTCAGGATCATGTAGGCTGAGATTTGTGTGGTCCACTGGTCCCTTGGACTAATTGTTTTCATGTGTCTTTGATTTTCTTCATTCTTCTTTGTTGCAGATGAGGAGAGACCAATTGCTAGATCTCAGATGGCTGCTTGCAAGCTTTTAAGACCCCAGTCGCTACTCACCAATGTAGAACAATGTTTTTGTGTAGTATGTTATGCCAGTTGAGCTTGATGTCCCTTGTGACCATGATCCCGAGCCTGTGGACCCAGTGACTCACTCCCTTGGGGTGTTTAGCTGTGACTAAAAAGTTATCATTAACTTTGCCCCCTGTTAGCTTTTATATATATGGACATTATTACAGCACATAAAAATAAGTATGTACAAATATCATCTGCCAAATTTATAGATGGTCATGGGTATAATCCCTTTTACCAAGACATACCTGATCATTAGCCTCTCTACCCATGTATCCACCAGTAAATTAGTGTTTGTTGTTACTGATAATGCCATATTGTATATGTAAAAGTGTTTATCTTTGTTGTCTGTACCTCTTGTGCACTTCTATGTGTCTTCTTTTTCCTCAGTGTTATTGTGTTGGTCACATGCTTTTAGCATATTGCCTTTCCCTTCACCCAGATCAATACTTTTCTCTTACCTATCTAGCAATACCCTTTATTCAGATACATTATTTAAAAAAGTATTTTACTATATTTGTTTCATCACTTTCTTTGTCTCTGTAAACACACAAATATGTACATATATTCATATTATTTGTTTTCTGATCCATATGACAGTGAGTTGCATACGTATGCTCCTTTACTCCTTAACTTGTAAATGGTGCATTTCCTAAGAAAAAGAACATTCTCATAAATACTCAGAGTATACTTTTCAAGTTCAGCGAACTGTACATTGACATAACACTTTTATCTAATCATAGATGGTATTCTAATTTTATCAAATGTCTCAAAAGTGTTATTTGTAGTATTTCTCTCTCCTGTAAGAAAGGAGAATGAGGTTGGTCTACAAGGACAAAAACACATGCTCTTTTCCACAACTCTCATTAAGGTCTTTATTAGTAGGGAGACTTCAGCAGGTCAGTTGTTTGGTTTTATTTGTTTTATTCTCAGCAAGGAGTATCCAGGAGCTAAAAGCTTTTTAGTTATAGAAGGAATCTAACATTGTAAGATGTAGCTCTAGCAGGAGCCTGACATGTGAAGTTGGACATCTTCCCTCAGTATCAGCTTAGAAGTGAGACTGGACTATGGGATTTTTCAATTCTTTTTGATCTTTTTGGGGAGAGTGAATAGCAAAGAGAATAATAAATACTAGACTTAGCAAAAGTACATTTGGGGTAAAATTAGAGACATGGTCTTCTGTGGTAATTCTAATTCTTTACTGAGAATAAAGTTTTCTACATGATTCCTCTCGAGGACTGTGAGAAGCTGTCCTTATTTATCAACCATTCTCCTTGGTTATTTGGAACTAATTTCCATTTAAGAGTTAGTTGGTATCAACTTTCCTGATTCCTCATCTGTGGATCAATTTCAGAACTGCTTCCCTGGCCATCTTCCTGCTCTGGAGGATCCATATATTACTGTACAGCAACAGAGGTTGTGGTGGGGAGGGACAGGAGACTTGAGGAAAGAAAGGGAAAGGGTCTTTGTCTTGAGGGGAGTGAAGTAATGTGGAAAAGGGAGAGAAGACCCTGTACACCACACTGATGTTTTGGGTCTAGGGTCTCCCCAAGAGCCAATTTTCATCCTCATCTCCATTCTACCCTCCAGGAAAGATGAAGCTGACTCTGGTGCAGATCTTCTTCATGCTGCTGCTGTTGCTGCTAGGTCTGGGGATGGGTCTGGGCCTAGGGCTTCACATGGCTGCAGCAGTTCTGGAGGAGAGTGATCAACCACTGAATGAGTTTTGGGCCAGTGATTCCCAGGACAGGGATGAGGCTGCTGAGGAAGGAGAGGGCACCCGAACCGCAGAAACTTTGCTGCTTACAAACCCAGAAGTAGCTGGCTGGCAACCAGAAGAAACCATTTTCAATGAAGATGAGGTTGGGAACAACAAGATGCTCAGAGCTGATGTTCTCTTTCAGAGCAGCAAAGACTACCTTAGGTATAACTTGGTCTCCAGGGAATGCAATGCTATGATGGCCCACAAAATGAAGAAGCACAACCAAACCTGCATAACCCAGTACACATTCATCCATGAGGATGAAGACACGGTCAAGTCTGTCTGTAACAGTCCAGTCATTGCCTGTGAACTCAAAGGGGGCAAGTGTCATAAAAGCCCCCGCCCCTTTGATTTGACACTCTGCAAGTTGTCCAAACCAGGCCAGGTCACTCCTCACTGCAACTACCTAACTTTCATTTTTGAAAAATTCATTGTTATAACCTGTAGTGACATGAAGTTCCAGTTATCCCCTGGACAGTGAAGCAACTCATCCTCTTCTTCCTATTTACCTTCTTCTCCTTATCTTCCTCTTCTTCCTTTTCTTGCTCCTCATCCTCTTAGGTATTCTAAAGAGAAGGTTCTGAGAAGAGGGGCTGGCCAACTCTTTATCATTCTCCCATGAATATTAATATATATATATATATATTTGTCATAAGGGCCACCAACTGGGGTTAGAGGTGGGAGAATACAACCCTGATGTGCAATCTCCCTGAGTCTCTGTTTCTCCTGTCCCTTCACCCCAGAGTATAAACAAAGAACTGCTCTGGTCCCTGCTGTGGTCCTGGTCAGCAGTCTTCCCTGGTCTAAGTTTGCTTTAGGAAGTGAACTGCAACAGTTTAATACCTTCTTTACCAATATTCTTTCCTGCTACCCCATCCTGAGTTTTCATGTAACCAGATAGGCCTCCTGGCTCTGCCCACCTGCATGTCTTTGCTATGAATCCAATTAAAGTGATTCTATCTCTAGCTGCAATTGGAGAACCCTGTCGATTAGGTTTCTCTTCCTGAGTTAGAAGAAATATAGGGGTCCTGGTTTAGGGGTCTGCTGCTAAGGGGCAGACCAAGATATAGCATGTGTTGGGGCAAGGACAGCACTCTTTTCTCTTGACCTAGTGGATACCTCTTGCCTTTAGTAAAAGCAGAAGGACATACTCTTTTTTCAGACAAAAACTTTATTCACTACCCTTAACTGAGACCACAAGTATATTTTTAGGAGAGTCTGCATTTGTTGATCTTCTCTTGTTTCCCTCAAGACCCACTGAATACAGATACTGATGAGTTCACCCATCTTAAAGGATGTTTTAAATGTTTGTTGTTGTTGCTGTTTGTAATTTCCAGCTCATTCTTCTCCATCCCTGGTCATTTTCTGTGTTGTCTATGACACTGCATTGAAAAATCTTCTCTGGGTCCCTGGTCTGAGTCCTAGCCTTGGTTTTACATCATTATATTATTAGTCTTTATTTTCTCTCCTCCCTTCCCCCATGTTCTTCCCCAATCCTCTCAAATACGTCTTCTGCTCTTGGCTCCTTCTTTCTCTAATCTTTTCTCTTTCCTCTCACCTTTCATCACATGCCTCTCTTCATTCCTTTGTTTCTTTATTCCTTCTTCGCTCTGCTTTCCTTTTCTTCTTCTACTTGGGTCCTCCTTTCCTTTTCACTGGATCTTTTAGAAATTCATCGAGCCATTCATTCACTTATTTTATGTTAGGTAGGCAAGTGCTGGTCCTATAGTCAAAGATTTCAGGTGTAAGGGATTGGAAGGAGGGTGGATTATGAGGGTAAGGAAGAGAGAACACCCTCTTTCCAAATTAGGTCAGGAAAGTGAAATAGTGTTCTTTCAGCACTTCTTTCCCTTTAATGTTTGCCAGGGCGCAGAAGAACAAAGAAGTTGGTGAAAGAAAAAGTTCTGCAAGGAAAGAATTGAGTCTGCTCAAAGAGGGGAAAAGCTAAGGGGTTGAATGAATAATGATGCAAGAGGCTGACCTCAACCTAGTTCTTCTGAATGCAAGTTTGTCAAGAATAGTACAAGTGGACATGTGTGGGGGTGGGGGTGGGAGAGGCCAAGAAAATGGTTGAAGAATTCCATGTGTGACCTGCTTTTGGGAATACCTTCTCTCTACTTCATCCTCCTAGCCAGTGACAGACCCAAGAGTTAGGTGAAGCCAGCTAGGTTTTTTTTTAAAAAAAAAAAAAAAAAAAAAAACATTTTTATCGTTAAGACCAGTTAATCTATAGAGAAAGCATCTTCTCATTCCTGGGGATTGTAATAGGGAAAAAGAGACCCTGCTTTCATACAGGCTCAAGAGAGACACTTTTATTAAACGTTGGACAGAACAAAAACAAAACAAAGACAATCCTCCCGGATGAGGGAAACCATTAGCATGAGAAAGCTGAATGGAGTCTGCTGAGTCAAGGCCATGTGGCTAATATATGATTTAAAAAAAAGGAGGGGGAGTCATCACAAAATCATGATTGGTGGTGGATAGACTGATTACTGTTGCAGGCGGGGCTACCAAAGCAGGGAAAGGACCATGAATGAGATACATACATAATTGAAGATAGGCCTAGGATTTGTTCTGGGCCTTGACTACTTGGCTAAGTGGTGGTCCAGATAGATTGTGACTCGCAACCATCAAGCCTGAATCTTAGCCACAAGGTGGCTATCAAACAATACAAAGTCCCCAACCTTAATTTAAATTAGAAAAGGACACTCTTAGGCAAGTTCCCTTGTTCTTTTTGAGAGTATAATGTACTTTCAACCATACTCTTCCTGAAGGCAAACTGCCCTTCCCTAGATTTGTCCCAGAACTTGTCTGTGCATAGCCACAATGATGATTTGATGGTCAGAAAGAACCTAAATGACATCCAAAACTTATGTCAAGCCTCAAAATGGAGTCAAGGCTCCCACTGCAGACCACAGCCTTCCACAAACCCAAGTGCTTTAGAATTTAAACTCTAATACAGGATGGGGCCTAGGGGTACCATAAGCAATAAAACAAAAGTCACTGCCTTCGAGTGGATTCCAACTCAAAGAGACCCCTCCTTGGGTTTCCGAGGTGGTATCTCTATGGAAGTAGATTGCCCGGTCTTCCTTCTGAGGGGTGGCTGGTGGGTTTGAACTGCCAGCCTTCTGGTTAGCAGTCAAATGCCTCAGGCACTACCCACCAGGGCTCCTCCCATAAGCAATAAACAAGCCCAAATTCACCAAACTAGAAACACTTCCACATGCTCACTGTCAACCCTCCTGCTTACCTTTCAGCCATAAATTCCAAACTGTTCCCAGTCACACCAGAAGCATGCATAGAAAGAACAACTTTGCCCTCTAACTGAACTGGGAACATTAAAACTCATGTTAAAGAACTAAAAGTTACCAGAACTGTGTCATTGGTCCTACACAGAACTCTTTTAGAAGCTAGGGGTCAGGGGGCCACGTCCATGCTAAGCTATAATCCTTCATGACACCTCTCCCAAAACTATGAATATGTAAAGCTTTCCTATTTCCCTGAAACCTATATAACCCTAAAGCCACTCCCCTTTGGGGAAGCAGTAAAAATAAACAAATTTGCTTGAGAAAATTTTTGCCATCTCCTACTATTCTTAGTAGAGATAGGCAAGGACCCCTTGAGTCCAACCAGAGAATTCTGACTCTTTTCTGTATCACAGGGACATAGATAAATGGGAGATTGGAGAGAAGAAAAATTTCAGTTTACTCTGACTTGGCTTTTATTTTCCCATTCTTTCCCCATTTCCCCACTTTCTTTCACCCTTCCTGTTCCTACAAGGTAGTAACTACTCCAATGTACTGCCTCCAGTAACTTGTTAGCACCTATGACTCACATTTCCCTTTACTGTTCTGACTCATTTCTCCTTTCAGAGACCTCTTAGGACAGTGTGGGCAGGAAACATGTCTGCATTGGTGGCCTACCTTGAGGTTTTAAAGTTGGATGGGAGAGTAGAGAGAAATAAGGACTGTCACAAGGCTGATTCCTACTCTTCCTGAGGGCAAATCCCTCTCAGATCATTTAAAAGGTGCAAAAAACAAACAGGAGATAAGCAAGGGAGGAAAAAAGCAGTGGAGTGGGTAGAAAGGAAAGAAGAGTAGAAGTCAAAGAAAGTCAGCCAGGTTAGGAATTTATCTGATAGATAAACCAATGGTATGAGGAATACAAGTAGTATGTGAAAAGGCTAAGAAGTCTGACTTCATCTTAACCAAAGCCAGAGGATCCATTGTATGGAGTGAACTATTCAGACTGAGATTAGCCGGGATTTGAACATACATCTCTATCTGATAAGAGTAAGCACTTGAGTGAAATAATTGAGAGATCCAAGGAAGAGAGTCTATGTCAAGAGCAGGACAAAGACTTGACACATGACCCATACCCTGGATTTGGCCAAAAGCAGGCAAAGTTATCATCTCATAAGTCCCCATCAACTTCTTAGAGTTCACACATTGTCCAATGAGTAGTACTATCATCTCTCACTTCCAGTTTCCACTTTGGGCACATCTCAGTGGTCAGGCTTTCACCTGACTCCAGGGAAGCAATTTATAAAATACTCTGCAGACCTCTAGTGGCTTAAGCAGGAGAACACATATTCCATGGCTAATGTGACATAGTGAAGTTGTCAGACTCCTCATCCACCAGGAACAGGAAATTAATTCATTAGAAAGATTTCATCACAGTCCCAATTCTGCCTCATTTATGAAGCTTTCACCAGCTTTTTCAGTCCTAATGCAACTACTTCTCTGCACTTCCAATGTGGATCCTTTTCTCCCTGGGTTGATCTTAATTTACACAGCATGAAAGATAAGCATTCCTTGCATGAATTGGAGTACTCTTTTCACTCTACCAGTGGGACCCTTAGGAGCTCTGGTGGTGTAGTGCCTAAGGCATTTGAGTGCTAACAAGAAGGCTGGTGGTTCAAACCCACCAACCAAGCTTCGGAAGGAAGGTTGGGCAAACTACTTCCATAGTGATACTGCCTCAGAAACCCAAGGAGGGGTTGCTACGAGTTGGATTGACTCTGATGGCAATGAGTTTGGTTTTTTGGTTGTTTTGAGACCTAAACAGGAGCTCTGGTGGCTTAATGCCCAAGGCATTTGACTGTTAACCAGAAGACTGGTGGTTTAAACCTGCCAGCCATGCCTCAGAAGGAAGAGTGGGCAATCTACTTCCATAGAGATACCGCCTTGGAAACCTAAGGAGGGGTTGCTATGGACGGCAGTGAGTTTGGTTTTGATTTGAGACCTAAACAGGAAGAGATGTTGATGAATACTTCAAATAATATGTGTGTATACTTATTGGAAAAGAAAGAAATAAATATATTTTCCATACCATTTATTCTAAACTTCAATAAATCACTACACTTCAGTTGGACCCATGAATTTTGTTGAACATCTTAAATCAAATTGTCTGCATGCATAGGGCTCCCACCTTCTCACCACCACCCCACCCTCAAAAAAATATATTTGGGCCAGGGTTATT